ATTTGCTTTGATCCACAAGCCAAATCTGGGTATCTTTAGCTGTAAAAGTTTGAAAGGAAGAGAAGTCTATGAAGTATTGGAAGGATGTGGCCATTTATCAGGCTCTGAAGCATCAACGAAGCTTGAGTGGCAGCCGGGAAACCGTAGCTTTCAGCGTTTTTACAGAGGCTTGACCTGTAATCAAGGAAGCCAGGAAAGCTTACCTTCAACTTTAAATTTATGCACTATATTAAAACGAAAAAGTATGAAGTTAAAAAGTCAGACTGTCAAAAAAAGGACTGAACGTACACAGATAGCCTATTTCCTCCGGCAAATACAAAATAGGTTAATGTTGGACTAACACAACAGGTGCAGTTGTGCCTCAGACAGCATCCGCGGCCGGTTTACCGTCGAGGTGAACACTTACGACCTTCGGGTGCTGCCTCATCGAACCAGACCTTGTCCCGCTATCTGTCTCTTTGAGCTGCGCAAATTCATTTAGCAAATGACGCCCAATTTTTTGTAATCCAAGTTGACAATGACAGACCTTTAATTGCACATAATCGCATGTCTAATTGCAAATTGCAATTTTAATGAATTGTCCCTACTATTCCCATTGTGACTCGCATGCCAAGCACACTTTGGGTTGTTTAATTAAGACGACTCTGTTTCCATAGAGATCGGGGGGAGGAAAAAAAGAAGAAAGAAGAAGAAACGGTTTGCGGAACTGTCCGTTCCGCTTGGCGCGGAGATAAAAATAATCCCAAACTGACACCGCGTTATTACAGCATCACCGCGACCTATGTGTGGACCCTAATCCTCAGTCTCTGTCTCGTTCTGTTTCGTTCCATCCGAGTGGCACAAAACACTTTCATACTCCAGTCAGCTTTGACACAGCCGACTGGAGCAAACTCCCTTTCCACAGCATGGTAGTTGTGATCCAGTTCTTGCAGTAACACCATTAGCCCCTCAGGCGTGCCTCCATCCCTCGCGCTCAGCTCGCCCAAACGTGCCCAATTCTGGGTAAGCTGAGATGACGCCTGACAGGCAAGTGGATGGAAGTAATCGGATCGTCAATACCACAATTAGCGTTTCGTCTTCATTGTTGTCAGTGAGGCAGAACAAGCTGAAACAGCCACCTGATGATGTTTGTGTCCTTCCGGAGCAGATGTGTTACGGTTCACAAAGACTTCAGTTTTACTCTCGATTTCATAAGAACTGCAGACCCTTGTGGAAGAATTCAGCCCCCCTGAGATTTCCACATTGTGCAGTGCTACGACCAGAATTGTGCTTTGGGTTTCTATGCGACAGTGCGGCATAGACCCGCTACGAAGGGAAATGATTGAGTGGCTTTCAAAAACTACAAAGAAAAATGCTGGGAGTCAGTCAGGTACTCTGATACCCCTAAATAAATAATGATAAAAATGCACTTGACAAACCTTTCTGTGCAAGAAGAAATCCACTGTCGAAAGACAACCACAAGAAGTACTGTTTTCTGTTTGCCGCGAGCCATGCACGGGGTAGAGCAAACAAGTAGAAGAACCCCCTAGTGGGACGAGACCAAAAATAAACGGCGCTGCATGAAAAATGCCATGTTTGGTGCCAAAGCCAACACTGAAAATCAACCCGTACACGTCGCTCTCATGGCAAAACACGACGGCTCCAGAATCATACTGTGGGCATCCTCTTCTTCAGTGACAAGTAACCTCTGCCCGATCAAATGGTTAAGATCAGAGCACATTAATTTGTAAGAATGCCCTGGTAAAAGAGTGCAACAGATCATTTGAGGACAGAACTGCACAGATCTGGAAGAGCTACTTTACAAATAATGGACAAAAGATTTCAGATTCTGATTGTTCAGAACTGGCAGGGAAATATTGTGGAAAACATGCACCTGTCACTGCAGCCGACGGTGGTTCAACAGGACTCAAGGAGGGTCGAGTACAAATACATGTTGCATTTTTTTGAAGTCGACATATTCTTGTCCCTTCATTTCAGAAAAACAAAGACGAAAGTGGATTTACATTTGCGGCCAAATGATGAGAAAATGTGAAGGAACTCGGGGGTGCAAATACTTTTGCGAGGCACTTTGAATCTGAATAGGTGTTAACGATACAGAGTCAGGCCCCTGGTGGGTCGGATTCAGGCTTCCTGTCGCTATTTTTTCCACTTATAGGGTCTTAGCTTCATGAATAATTGTGGAGCGGAGTGTTGATGCGAAACGTCAGTGTGATGAATCTCATATTTATGTATGTTGTGCAGAACAGAAAAACAGGGCAATTTTTTGAAGTGAACTTCTCTCGCTGCACTTTTTCATGTAAATCCCAGCAGCGTTTGCTCGGCTCCTACTTGTAGAAGGGTGTAAAAATAGAAAGCAAGAACAAACTGTGCAAATAACAGACATGTGGGATGATGGTAAATCATCTGCAAGAGCCAGAATAGCTGTGAGGTCAGTGGGTCAATGGCCATGTAGCTATAGCAAATGAATTTAGCCTGTTATACATTACTGACAGGTAGCAGATTAATTTTCTGGTCCAGTGGCTTCGATGGATAATTAAAAGATGGCAGGTCTGGGGTTTGGGCTTTGAATGTCAATCTTTCTAACACATAGACGCCCAGTGGTGTGATGTTATTCCTGCCTTACAGTTCATTGCCTCAAAAGGTATTTGATCTTTCAGTGAACTGAAGTGGTTTGGGGCTATTCAACAAATGCAACAAGCACACACATGTGCACACGTGTGTGTGTGCGTCTCTTTGTTGCCCTGCAATGGACTGGTGACCTGCCCAGGGTGTACCCCACCTCTCACCCACTGATCAGTGGATCATTGGGTCTACCCGCCCTTTAGCCCCCTCCCATGGTAGACCCTGCGAGGACAAGCAGGTACAGACAAGACTTTCAACTTTCAGCATGAAATGATCTAAAATCTCCTTGTCGACGGCTGCACCAACGTTGGACTTCAAACAGAATTATGGACCAGTACCAGCAATGGCAGCGTGGAAACTTCACCAATTGTCCCCATAACTCAAGTGAGACATTATCTGTGGTTCAATGGTGCCTTATTGAAACTTTGACTCCACAACTATATTCATTATGAATCTCCTTCAAATAAGATCCGCTCCCAGATTTGGTGGCAAAGGTGAGATGGTCAAAACACACAGCTGACACTGTTCCAACCTGTTTCATTCAACCTCTGGGGTTGAATGAAACATCCTAATGGATTGATAAATGGCATTTACAACTGGATCCATGTATATTTGGACACTGATACAAGTATTTTTTTTTTTTTTTTTTTTTTTACCTGTTTACTGAAATGTATTCCAATCATAATAGTATGATAGACATGGACATGATGCGCAGACTCTGAGCTCAGGTCAAAGTAGCTCTCCATGCAGGTGAAACAAGTCATCATTAAAGCTGTGAAAATATAAAAAGAAATCTATCCAAATTAAAAAATAAAAATTTTTTTAAAAAAGTACAACGTTCAGAGAGGCAAAATCTACTGTTTGGCACATCCCGAAAAGGAAAAAAACAAACAAACAAAACAACAAAGAACCGGGTGAATTGAGCAACACAAAAACACCTGGATGTCCACGGAAGATAAGAGCGGTGGATGAACGCAGAATCGTTTCCATGGTGAAGAAAAACCCCTTCACAACAGCCAGCCGAGTGAACAACACTCTCCAGGGGGGTAGGCTTGTATCGTAAGCTAACATGAAGAGAAGTCCGCGTGAAAGTACAAAGGGTTCACTGCAAGGTGCAAGCCACTCATAAGCCTCAAAAATAGCAAGGCTATTGATAAAAATAAAATAAAACAAAATTTTAAAAAAGCCAGAATAGTTGAGGAAGAACATTGTTTGGACAGATTAAACCAAAATCAATCTCTACCAGAGTGCAAACAAATAAAAAAAATAAGAGGATGGAACGACTCATGATCCAAAGAGCATCACATTGTCTGGCTGCTCTGGAACAATTGTGTTTATTCAAGATGTGACAAGACAGAAGCAGACGAATTAATCCCGAGGGGTTCAGAGACAAGCTGTCTGTCCAAGTCCAGCCAAATGCAGTCAGCTTGAGTCAAAACATTTATCTGTAGATTAGGTTGTGAAATATATTCAAGATAGGCAATAAAGTGAGAAAGTTTCCAGTGGTGGAATTTATTTATTTCTTTTTTGCTACTTATTAAAAATCTCTTTGGTTTGTAAAAACACCAGAAAGCATCTAATAAAGTTACTTAACTATAATTTCAGAGAAATGTTTGAAAAGTTCATATTTCACCTCAGACACTCTGCAAACTCTAATTGTGAGATATTTTGAAGAGAAAACCTAAAGGGGAACACATGTAATATAATTTTTTATCCACAGTGTGTTTATTTTAATTTTACTTTAAATTCAGAGCATTGGCCAAGGGTACCAGTCACAGCACATTGTCACTATTATTTATTGTTGTTTTTTTGTTGTTCTTTGTCAATTTTTATAGCTGGAATTACTGGGATAAATTCACTTTTCAATCATTGTAAAAATTACTAGCATGCAAGGACGCTGTACGATGGCATATTAAGGCCGTTTCATATAGAAAAAAGGAGGAGGAGTAAATTATTGCCAAACATTTTTTTCTAGCGAAAAAAGAAAAAAAAACATGAAATTGTCTGAGCTCCAAAAGCTGACAAATTCCACTCTCAAACTTTCACAAATTCAAGATTTTGCTCAAAAATTATTATTTTTTTAGAAAAAACTTGGAAAGGTCTATGTTTCAAAGGTGGAAAATGTTTGACTTTTGAAAAACAGAAATTTTGAAAAAACTTTCTTCAAGTTTCAAAGAAATATTTATGTCTTGGGCACCAAAACCTGCTCTTGCCCAGGGCCTGTCCCCCCATCACCACCTTCTCAATCCGGCCGTGCACTCAGCGCGCCACGTGCCTAAAACCTGATGATGCTGCTGCTGAAAGTAGAAGCATCTCTGACTCAGATCAGCCTGAACTTCGCCAAAAAAAAAAAACAACAACAACAAAAAAAAACTTACCTGTCCACGCTGATCACGCACAGGGTCATGATGGAGGCGGTGCAGCACATCACGTCCATGCCGATGAAGATGTTGCAGAACAAGTCCCCGAACAGCCACTTGCCCCCCGTGAGATCTGTCACAATGACGAACGGCATCACCGCGACGGCCACCGACAGGTCCGCCACGGCGAGGGACACCAGCAGGTAGTTCGACGGCTGCCGAAGTTTCTTCACCACGCACACGGCGATCACCACCAGCGTGTTCCCCATCACGGTGACCGCCGTGATCACCGCCAGCATGACCCCGATGATGATCTTCTCCGGGCGCCCGAAGTCCAGCAGCTGCTCCCCGCACGACTCGTTCCACTTGGCCGCGGGGCCGCTGCCCACCGTAGCGACGGACACGTTGCTGACCAGGAGCAGAGTGCCATTGATAACTTCGGCGACATCCTCTTTCTTTGCAAAAGCGGGCTCAATCACCGAGGTATTGAACATCACGACAATGACGTTTCCCGAACAGGAGAGCAAGGGGCGCCTCGCCAGTGCGCTCCAATTGCGCGCATATTTGGGTTTGTGTAACCCGCTCCCGGACACAGCCCGACTGGGTGGTAGGTCGAAAGCTTTTTTTTTTTTTTTGTCAGCCGCAACACATCACAAGGTGGTGGTGATGGTGGTCAAGTGACCCGTTCCTAGAGGTTCTGTAGCTTTCGGGGATGCGAAGACCATCAATGGAGGAGGAGGAGGCAGAGGAGGAGGAGGAAGAGGAGGAACGAGGGGAAGCCCCTAAAATTACGGAGCTGCACACGAGGAAAAAAAAATACAAATAAAAAATAGAATAAAAAAGTTGAACCCGTCTAAATCTGCCTGCTTCCAGGAACGTTTTCTTCAAAGCTTCTCAGCGCGTCACTTCTGCAAACACTGACACGTCTGGGGGGAGTCGCGCTGCGCAAACGGCACCTCTCCGCCGTGACGCATCCGTCGGAGCGCACGGACAGCCTGTCACAGCGCGGCGCTTTCGGTGTGATCCTCAGAGCTCAGAGTCTGCAGAGAATTACGGAGCAGTTTCACGACGCACGGCTCTATCTGCGCGGGGAACGGAGAACACAGTTTCCCAGAAGGGGGAGGAGAGGGGGGAGAAGTGAGCCGTGAGCGAAATCATGAAGAAATATGAAGCAAAACGTTGAGGAAGTTCCTTCTTCAGCGGATGAGGAAGAAACTTGGATCGAGGAGGTTTTTCTTTTTGATAAAAACAAAATGCATTTTTGTTGTTGTTTTTATAAAACAATGGAAAAAAAATTAAATAAATAAAACTGTGATTTTAAATAAATAAATAAATAAAAATCACACAGTGCCAAGCTGTAAACGTCTCCAAATACACAGATTTCTGTTGTTTCATTTCAAATCATCACATTTAAACATCAGAGAACTACAGCCTGAGTTAACAACCTAAATAAACATATTTTATCATTTATTAAGGGAATGTGCCATCCAAACCAAGTTGGCACAGTGTGGGTGGTTTTGCTTCTTTTTTTTTTTTAACGATTCTGCAGCATTTTAATCGGATTTAAGTCCGGACTTGTGAAGGTCAATTTATTTATTTATTTATTCAACAGATCAGAGGAGAGCTTGCTGATGTGCTTTGGATCATGAGCTGTGGTTGTTGAGCTTAATGGTGGGAACTGAGGCCTGGTTTCACTGTTCTGTTTTTCTGGAATGCTGCGTCTCACTGCTGAATCACAAACTCTGACCTTAACTGAGCCCAGCCGAGCCTCAGGTGCCCTGGGTTCTTTTTGTGACCTCCAAAATGAGTCGGAGATTTTGTACTTGGAATGATTTCTGGAGGCTAGATTCACTCCTGTGGAGATTTGTTACTATTCCTTCTCTTCTCATGCGGATAAACGGATCTCACTGCGTTTCACTGAAGTTTCAAATCAGTAGAAATCTTCAGCCACAGATTTCAGTGACCTTGTTTTTCTTCTTTTAGTTCCCTTAGCCTACTTCCTGTTGCCAGACGGGTCCTACTTGTGTGATTTCTTGATTTGATGGATTGGTTAATCGCAGTCAGCCGACAGCTAATTACTTTTTTCACAAAGTTTGTTTTTGGAGCATTGTTCCCTTTTTGAATGAAATCCTTATTTAAAGTTGCAGGGATTTTTTTTTTTTATTTTAGTGCAAATATAAGTGGTTGTGAATGGCAAAATGTGAAAAAGTCCAACTGTTGTCTTCTCAAGGTTCTGCTAAACAAACTCCGGCCTCCTTTGGACGTTGCGTAGCAATTATGTACATGAAAGTGTTTCATAACACAATCCAGCTTTTCCCTCGTACATTTTGCTTTTTGGAGGAAAGAAAAGCGAATTAAGCTCTTGATATTTTGGCAAAAACTAAAACGGCATAAAGCACTTGTTTATAAATAAACAATACAAAGTCAAGCAGAAAAACACGTACCCCTCTGGAGTTCAGTGCTTCTTCAACTTTGCGTTTCCTGGCTGCCTCCTCGATTTCAAGCACTGGGAGCAAATCAAATGAGAAAACCCAGATCTAAACGGTGGGAGACACTCAGAATGTGGGGTAAATATTCAAAGCACCTTGGCAGTTCATATCACAGTCTGAGCACCAGAAGCTGTGAAGTTTTTTTTTGTTGTTGTTAGTTTTGTTTTTTTAATATCCCCTCCTCTTCCTGACTACGGGGTGCCTGTAAAATCTCCCTTTTCCCCTGTCATGGTTGTCCATCCCCAGATCCCAAACACTGCAGCCTGCATGCATGTTACTCACCATTACCCTCTGTGACTGACAGTTCAGTGACGATTGTCGCATCAAATTAGCTCTGCTGACCACCGGCAGCTTTGGCCAGACCTGAGGTTGGCAGGAAAATCCATCCTGTTCCAGCTAAAGACAGCAGCACAATCTGGATGTCAGCAGCGATAGGTCAGGACTCCTGAAGCCTCCGAGGCGAGCTCCCAGCGCTTATGTTAAACAACCCGTCTCTGTGTCGGTGACTCTCTCCGGGGCCGCTGTGGGACTTATACCGAAAGAGATTAAATGTGATAATTAGAGACATGGAGGAAGCATTAAATGAAACTGATATACATCTTGCTTCTCCTTCCCATCCTGCTAAACTTTGGACGACAGTCCTCCTCTTGAGTTGCTGGTCTGCTGGGTTGTTTCTTTATCCCTTTTGGTACAAAACGTTGGACAGGTTTTACCCAAATGCAGATGTTGTCGTCTAAAAGTTAACAAAAGCCTCAAAATCTGACTTCTTGTCACTTAACGAGAAATTGCCATGTCATGCAAACATCAAAGCTGAACTCCACTAAGCTTTCTGGCCGTCGTTAGACGACCGCTAATCAGATTTACAAATTAATTTATAAATTATCTGAAGAAAAGGATGTTTTTTTGTGTGTGTGTTTTTTTTAATGGGTAAGGGAACATGTTTAGATGTTTTTCTTCCTATTTTGTCACTTTAGTGTTACTATGTTTTTGGTTGACTTTGGTTTGCAGTAATTGTGTCTAATTCGTATGGTTTAAAATGTTTTTTTTAAAGAAAGTAAAATGGGTCACTGAGGCGGTCGATGACGGAGTCAAAAGATCCTGGAGACGTGTACTTCCCCCTGTAGCCCTGAAAAGATAAAACAGTGGAAGAAAAATGTAAAGACTGATCCTTCATTTCAACCCAGTAATACTTTCTCATTAATAAAGATCATAACATCTTCTTTTCAAAGTATTTTGTCTCAGTTGTTAGGGTATGGGTTCCATTTGTGTTTATATTTTTGATTATCTGATAATTTTCTTATCTCATGCATCTCCTCTTTCCTCTGTAATTACTTCCAGCTGTTCCTCATCCTATGATCACTCTTATATGCATATATTTTCTCACCTGTGTCATTGTTGGATATTTATGTCAACCTCTGCTCTGTCCTTTCTTGTCTCAGTTATTTGGGTCGAACCCATAATCCAACCTGGTTCTGGTGAATCAGTCCAAGCCTGGAATAATTAACCCAAAATTGGCATTTGGGGGCATGCGAGTTTTGAGCACCTTCCTCCTTCGTCTTTTTTTTCTTTTCTATTTCATAACGCTTATTTAATCAGCTACAATCTCTCCAATGGTCTTTTTAATGTCTATGGTCTGCGATCTGTATCAACACAGCTTGCTCTCCATCACCGTCAGCAGCAGCAGCAACATTGTACCCCATCAGGTAAAACAAAGGCTGCTTTTGCTTTGCACTGCCCTGACTTGACAAAGATATAGTATGGTGTGATTTCATATTAGATTCTTGATGAACGTGAGTTATTGTTACTCCAACTGGTTTAATTATGTTAAGTGTGTGAAAATCTTCTTCCATGTTCCCGTCTTTGACTTTGAGCACCTACCCCACATTAACATACGTTGAACTGCAACTCACTGACTGCCCACATGATGCTCGTCTGTGTCAGATCGCCATCTCTATTGCCGCATGTTTGAGTTATTAAATTAAAAATATATATATATTCTCTCCCTATATTAGCCTCATTTATCTCATCGAGAAAACATGATTCTCTAGTGTTTTGATTTCATCAACATTCTTATAACCACTTAAGAAAGAAACCGGGAAAGTCACATAGACCCACATAGAACATCATGATGGTACTGGTGACAGTACTAGTTGACCCAAAGACACATTTGGGGGATTTTGAAAAGTATGGGGACAAAAACAAGCTCTGCAATTTGATGCCAAGAAAGATGGCCGACTCATGCTCGCATTTGGAAGGAGGTGACTCAACCAGGCAACAAGGCCGAGTAGAGACCTTTTGTGGGTTATGGCTAAAGGGAGACAAGTGAAGATCGCCTCTCATCATAAGCCAGGAGTGAGACAAACATGGGCTATAGTGTTTTCCTGGCAGCAAATTGCGGTTTTCCGAACATGACCTGAAGAAAATGACACATTCAGGCACCAGGCCACAAGCTAGGGCACAACCAGGTAATTTCATCATGACAAGAAAATGTCAGTGAGGAGTAGAAGAGAAAAACACATTTGTTTTAGAAGTGGCTGGCAACAGAAAGAGAGTCCTCTTCTGTTTATAGGTTGTTTTTCTTTCAAGTGTTGTGCGTTGGTGACCAAAGGAGTCATCTCATTCTCTGTCTTTTTAAACCTGCATATCCATTCGTTATCTAACACGGTTGACCTTGCAGGGTCATGAGGGGGCCTGGTGCCTATCTCCAGCGGTCATTGGACTAGAGCAGGGGTGCTCAAACTTTTTGAGACCAAGATCTACTTTTTCTCCCACCAGCCGGCTGAGATCTACCTCATGACATGAAGACATACAAATTATAAATGAAACCCTATTGACTAATTTTCTATGCAAATATACATCAGTTTTATCAGAAATGATAAAGTGATAGAAAACCTAATGTAGTTTCTTCCTCAGTGAGATTCTGACACTGGGAGCAGGTTACTGGTTTCTCAGTCAGAAGCTGGTTGCAAACTTGAGGCCAGCAGCTGTCAGTCAGTTATGGTATATCCAAATGTGGTTTGATGACGTCACTATGCGAAACTGCAGACTGATAGGAGGAACCAAAGAGCTCTGCAGAGGCAAATCTTCTGAATTTGGGATATAATTAATGTAATTTGACACAATTATTGTGGCAGAAGCCATTTGTTTGTTAAAACTTAATCAAATATATTTGTCCTATTTGACGTTTGTTGTGACGTTTACTGCAAACGAACGAGGTCATTAGTCCAAGTTTGTCGTTTATTGAACGTTCAGAAACTCCAGCGGCTGTGATGAACCACAGCGAAGGAAAACAAAGTAAAATAACCCAAACAACTCAGAACCTCTCGCACCGTTTCACTCTCTCTCTCTCTCTCTCTCTCTCTCTCTCTCTCTCTCTCTCTCTCTCTCTCTCTCTTTTTATCGTTAAGCACACCCGTTACCGTGGCAACCGCCTGCGCCCCGCAAGCCGAGCAAAGATTACGTTAAAAACGTTCAGTCCGTTACGATATCAGGTTTCAAGCTTTATCATTATTTAATGAAGCTACAAACGTTTTGGATCTTAGTGAATATTTTTGAAAAGTTTGTCAGAAGAGGAAGTGCTGCTCTCAGCGTCCTGCAGAGATCCACTCAAAACCTCCCCGCGATCGACCGGTAGATCGCGATCGACGTTTTGGGCACCCCTGGACTAGAGGTGGAATACAGAGACAGGCAGGATAAACCACCATGCTCACACACACACACACACACACACACACACACACACACACACACACACACACACACACACACACACACACACACAACTACAACTTTTTACAGAGGCACTGTTCATGTGTTCTCCCTGCACATGAACAGGGAGAACATGCCAGGTCCACGTAGAAAAACCATGGGCCAGGATACAAAACCAAGATTTTCTTACTGCAACGCAACAGTACCACCAACTGCACCACTGTGCAGCCCAAACCTTGCTTACCTCTACATCAGCGTTTCTCAATTCCAGTCCTCAGGCCTCCCTGCTCTGCATGTTTTAGATGTGCCTTTATTCCAGAACAGCTGATTCAAATGATTGCATAACTATCAAGTAGTGCAGAAGGTTTGTTAGTCTCTCTCAGATTCAATCCAGGTGTGTGGCAGAAGGGAAACACCTAAAACATGCAGGGCAGGGAGAACCTGAGGACTGAAATTGAGAAACACTGCTCTACCTCAAAGCAGCTCCTGAAGTGGTAATGTTTGGAAAATTAACTTGACACAAATTGTTTGCAGAGAAACTGACAGTATCACACTCAGGAGTTTGAGTATATACATAAAATGAAAAAAATAACTATCAGTATCAAAATAAGTAAAGAAAAAGAGATTTCCAGCGTCTGTTCTTATCTGAACCAGTCACAAAAACATGCCAAAGTCAATACCATGTTAAAAATCAGTTTAACTACCACAGCTGTCAAATGAAAATAACTGAAATATTCATGTTGGAGCTATTTATTCTTTATTTCTTTATCTATTTGAATTTTGTTAGTTTATTCTTAAACTTCTATTTTTTGCATTATTTACAGAGTTTATTTGCAGGTTAATAATTGATTTTATTTTTTGTTTTGTTTTCTTATTTTTTCCTATTTTTTATCATTTGTAAGCTAGACAGGAAGTGAGGCGGGTCAGTCCACCTTCTATAAATATAGGGGCCTGGTAAAGGACCAACAGGCATTTGGGTTTGGGGCCTATGGTTTTCACCAGTGCAAGAGATCAGTGCAAGAGATCAGAGAGAGAGATCAGAGAGAGAGATCAGTGCTAGAGAACAAAGAAAAGTTTGATAATTGTAATTGCTTGCATAAAAGGAAAATAAAAGCAACACAGAAAATCAACAAGTTTGGACCTTGGGATTCTTTTGCCTGTGTTAAGAATCTGGACCCCAGTGCCTCATAGTGGCTGATGGAACCTTTTATTGGATGTTTGGTTTGACAAACAATCGCCACTACAATTCATATATTGTTGGTGAAATAGTATCTTGGTATATGTTTTAGTGGCTGTCGAGAGATTTTTCAATCAGAGTTTGGATGGATGTATTTAATCCAAGTGGCAGAGATGAAGGTTACTTCCTAACTGTGGTTTGTATATTTGTGAAGTAAATGAATACAGAATGAATTGTGAAGTACAGAAGTAAATGAATAACAAAAGTATGCAGGTGTGTATATCAACCAACATCTTTCGCATAAAAATGTTGCCATAATTATAGTAAACAAGTGTAGAACTGTATGAATGGTCACTAGCAGTGTGTGAATTTAGTATCTTAAAAAGGGCCAGGATTCAGCAACTAAAGTGAAACACCTTTCTTTGCAAGCAGCTGAAATAACTTCTGATTTGGAAAACTACAATGTGACTGATTGTTTCACAATTTGCTCGACTTACTTTATTTGCTGAATGGAAAAAAATAAATAAATAGGGAAACAATAAAATAAACCAACTAAAGTTGTCTGTTTTTGTTGTTTGCTGTAAAAAACGAATGCTATTCATTGTAGATCCAAAAATGTAAATGATTTTGCAC